AAATAAACAAATAGAACAAATAAATAACTGAAAAAGATCCAATCTTCCCATGCTTGGTGTTGCTAGTATTTTCGGTGCTTGGATAGCAAGGGATTGGCTATAGATTGTTTTATTTACCTTGGGATCCAAATTAAATGGGTTTCCCTTCGCTTCAATCACATTTCCCCTTCCATATAGGGATTTTTTTCCTCTTTCTTTCCATTCAATCTTTGTAATCAAAAAGAATGAGTGGAGGGTGCTCAGTCAGTTAAGCGCCTGACGAGATCTCGATTTTGGCTCAGGTCATGATCTCACGGTTCATCGTTATCGAGTCCTGCGTCAGGCTCTGTGATGACAGCCTGCTTGGTATACTTTCTCTTTCTCTGCCCCTTCCCCCCTCAAAATAATACACTTTAAAAAAAAAAGAGTGGAGAAGGGTTTCTAAAGGAGGGACTGATAGGACAATTCTACCAAAAACCATTTATATTTTTAACTTTTGTGGTTCAGCCATGCTCTGTTCCCACCCCTGGGACCAAGAAAAGTATATTTTTCAGTTTCCAGCCTCTCCTTCTCTAAGCCCCTAGACAGATGTGCCAACCAGCCATGGGCTTGTCAATCACCACCACCCTGTCTTTCCTGGGCATTGTACTGACAAATCCCTGGTCATCAAGTCCTGGAATGAAAAGGCGAGAAGGGATAAATATATCCTCTGTCCCCCATCAAATAACTTCGTGTCTTCAGCTGATTACCTTTTTTGGAGATACCTAGAAATAAATAAAGCAAATTCAGGCAACAGAGCAAAATTAATATTTCTCTTTATTGGATAGTCTAGAATTAAGCTTGAAGAAGAAATACAACTCAACTACTGAAATATAAATAGTTGAGCTTACTTTATTCAATAAAAGGTATCCAATATATCAGTCAATCACACATTCAGCTAAGTATCAGGTATGGAACAATGGACAAGACAGGGTGATTTGGCTCTCAAGGAGCTTACATTCTAATACAGAAAGTAAACAGCTACAAGTTGGACAGATGCTAAAAATGAACAGAGAAAGGCACAAAGACTTTTAAAACCTGGGGGTTTGGAGCAATAGCAGTGCTAGGAATTTACCCAAGGGATACAGGAGTGCTGATGCATAGGGGCACATGTACCCCAATGTTCACAGCAGCACTGTCCACAAGAGCTAAAACATGGAAAGAGCCTAAGTGTCCATCAACGGACGAATGGATCAAGATGTGGTTTATCTATACCATGGAATACTACATGGCAATGAGAAAGAATGGAATCTGGCCATGTGTAGCAACATGGATGGACCTTGAGGGTGTTATGCTGAGCAAAATAAGTCAGGCAGAGAAGGACAGCTACCATATGTTTGCATGTACAGGAGGATTAGGAGGAACTTAACAGAGGACCAAGGGCGAGAAGAAGGGGGGAAATGGTGGGGGAAAGGGAGAGGCAAACCATGAGACTCTTGAATGCTGACAAAAACTAAGGACTGATGGGTGTTGGGGGGAGGGGGGGAAGGGCATGGAAGAGGGCACTCGTGGGGATGAGCACTGGGTGTTATGTGGAAACTAATTTGACAATAAACTATTTGTTAAAAACAAAAAAACAAAAAAAAAAAACCTGGGGGTTTGGGAAGCAAGCATCGCATCTAATTTTATTAGACTCCTCACGGAGGGAATAGTAAACTAATCTGAGGATGCTAGATATTAACTAAGTCAGTGGTCCTCATGGTGGGGTTTTGGAAATTGATAGGTTGTTGGTTTCATAATTATTGGGAACTATTCCTGGCATTGGGTGGATGCAGCCAGGCAGAACGCGTATCTGCAGTAGATGGGTTAGTCCCACACAAAGAAGAATTATTCGGTATCCTATACGACTTTTTAATGCCCTGGCTGGACATTTACGTAGGACCTACAGCTCGCCTGAGAGACAATCATTCATTTTTTTTTTTTCTCCTCTCAGGCAATCTGTTATCCTTATTTCAGTTAAGGTAATTTCGCTCTGTTTCTTACCATAAACAGAAAAGCTATATGGTCTGTTACGACTTACCCTAACGCTTGCTTTCATCCTAGAGTCACATACACCTCTGAATCTTTCATTTTCCCATACTTCTTTATAGGAAGTAGCCTCTGAACGACTCTGAAACTCAAACCCATTCGTTGTAAGTAGGGGTAAGTTTCTACTGCAGGATGTCGTATAGAATAGTCATGCCTGAGCATTTCCATACTGAAACTTATTTTATTCTCATTACAAATTTCTTTCTTTCTATTTCTCCATTATAATAGAGTTGGGGCATTAAATTGGTTCTTAAAGAAATCCATGTGTGTGAGTAGACTGTATTACCGATTCCTCTCAGGCCAACAAAAGGGATGTGACAAAAGGTTACTGCTCTGAAAAGGGTGAACAGATGTGCTAGGGTTTACCGTTGCCACCATAAGACGGGGGGAGGAGAGGGTGCTACTGGCATTAAGTACATGAGGGCCACGTAGGCTGAACCTCTTGCAATATTCTGGACAGTTCCTCACAGTAAGAAACTACTCTGCACCCTAAACGAATTTTGAATGTCTCACTAGACATTCTTGTATTGACCTATCGCTCGTCTGCAAAAAAATACAATATTCCCTCATTTTCTCCATCTCGACAATCTGTAGATTGCCTTGCACACTGTTTATTTCAATTAAGGCTATTTCGATATTTCTCTTATAAGTACTACCACATGCAAACAGGTTATTCTAAGGTCCACTTCTATCCCTGCTCCTTTGTTTTCCTATATACTTCTTTGTATAAACTCAGTTTTGATTTTCTCCCTTCTTTTGAATTTACTCATTAGGTGTAAACATCTGACTAGGTCTTCTAATATAGCTGTGCCCAAGTCATGTACCTTGTATTTCCGTTTTACACTAATGTTAACTAACTTTAAATTTATTTCTGCAATTGTGTGCAGGTAGAATATATGACCATTGAACTGCATTTTAAGGATAATGAAGTAGATATCACAATGTATTTGTCATTTTTTTTTTTTTTAAAGGCAGGAGTCCTAAATGAGAACCCCTAAGCCAGGAGGAAAGGGAAACCAAAGAGCAAGGGAAGGCGGAGTGGCTTGTGTGGAAATAAATAAATATTAGAGGGTAGGGAAGGATAAATCATGTGGGGCCGTAATAAGGATTTTGAACTTTATCCCAAAGGCATGATCAGATTTGAGTTTTTAAAGATTAAGGAAAAAAATTTTTAAATGTGGCCATTCTTACTACTGAGTAAAATACAGCTCAGAAGGGGACAAAGACATATTTCAGAAGTAAAACAGGACTTGGGAACAGCCTGGGGGAAGCAGAGGAAGAAGTCAAGAATGACTTCTGAATACAGAATACTAGGGGAGAAAATGATTCGTTTGAGGGAGGCAGAGAATTCCACTTTGGACGGGTTGCATTAGAGGCGCCTGTGAAATACACAAATTGAGAGGTCTATTGGCCAATCAGAGTTGGACAAACTGCATCTCTGACAATGTGAGAGCCAAGATCAGGAAATGAAAACTCCTAAACAGGAGCTACCATTCAAGAAAAAAAAAAAAAAAAAGGGCATTAGAGTAACTACTTGTGGTGAACCTCCCAGAAAATAACCCTGCCCTAAAAAATCCCTATACATCTGTTACTGGGGGAGTCCTTTAAACCAAGGGGTTGTGGAGATGTTTGTTACTGATCTACAATCTGACTAATGGAAAATCAACTCTAATGCTAATTAAGTTTTATAACATGACTGCTGGAAGGAACATAGCAGGAAACTTTGGCGAATGGTACAGAATGTTCAAATGGAAAACCTAATTCATTATAAGGAAGGAATTCTTGGTCCAAGACCCTCAACTGCTTTAAAAACTGATTGTACTATACTTGCAAACAATCCGTTATATGTAGAAAGAAGAAGCCCCTTGCAGGTTTGAGTCCTGTTTGAAGCTTTGTTTTCTTTGTTCTGATCACCAGGAAACAAATCTCGCCTTCTTAAGGGGCCCATCCTCCAGTAGGGAGGGCCCGGCTCCCAATTCTTTGGTGAGCCTCATCTGCTACAGTGAACAACTAAAAATAGCACTCAGGTTTATCAGTCATATTTGTGTGAATCTGGTTACTGGGACTCAGATCCCCCCAAAATACAAATATTTCATGAAAGTTCAGCCTGAAAAACCGTCTCTATCATTATATATGAAGAACCCAAATGGGCAATGAACTCCAGTTGGTTGCTTCTCTCTGAGCCACACTTCGCGGCTCTTTTTATTGCATTCCAGAGAGTCAACCCGGATGGAGTCCCCTAAATAAACGCAGAGATAAAGAAATATATGCCTCAACTCAGATTTGCCATTTAAATGAACTTTTCTTCCCCCGCCCCCAGCATTTTCCTAAAAATACGCCCCCTCCCTCCAACTTTCCACAATCTTCCATCCAAAGGCAGTACTGTCTTACATCAATAGGCGTTTTTAGATTTCTCTTAAATTGCCCAAGTTAATTTTTTTGCAATTTAACTAAAACAAAACCATGTCATACAATAAACGAAGAGTAGCTGGGAGTTTTAGAAGTCGGTCGTTCCGAGTTACATCTAAGATAGTGGTTCCCAAACTTTATGGCGCATTTGAATTCTTGGGATTTATAAATACCACTGCCCAGCTGTCATACCAGAAATGGTGATTTCGTTGGAATGGGATGCAGTCTGAACACTGGAATTGCTAGAAGGCTTCCCAGATAATTCAAATGTGTTAACAAAATTGGGGAACCACTGATCTAAGGCAATTTGATAACTACGTGAGGAAATGCACAAGTTTACTATTTGGGGCAGTCTGGCTCTGTAAGAGAACAGAATGGTTATGGCCTCCTTTATGACGCTGTATTCATCATTTCTAACTAATCACGCAGGCTTTGTCTAGTTCAGTATATTCAATCACATATTCTGGGTAAATCTGATCCTTCTCGAAGATGACAAACACGGAGGGATTCAACTTTGTATCCACGTAGCTGTCATATGGGGGTGGAGGAGGGCTCGGGCTTCCCATGTCTCCTTGAGTAAAATCTCCAACCAGGACTCGAGCTACAAACATAACGATGTTTTTGGTATCACACTGGCAATTTTTATGGGAATAGATGGCATCTTTTCTGAAGTAATTTCCTAGAAATAATCAGAAAAAGAAAAAGGATAAGAATTATTATAAAAGAAGGTATGTAGTTAGTAAGATTATGTACACACTACCAGATGATGGGTGTTAACTAATAAGCATGTGTCAGCAACATGTTATAGATACTTGTAAACTTCTTTTGTATTAAAAAAAAAAAGTCTATTATGCAAGTAAATTTCAATACGGCATGTAACCCTAGTGGAATTACCAAAACTTGGCTACTGTGCTGGGGCTCCCCGTGATGGTGTGGGCCCCAAGCTAACAGGCTAGAGTAGGGTAACCCAGTGGTGATGTCAGAGCAGCCGAACCCTTGCAAATCGTGCAGGAGGAGCTGAACTGTAACTGATGAACCAAAGGTACTCCGTCAGAGGCCTTTTTAAATCGTGTACTTTTGTTTTAGAGAGAGAGCCCAGGGATGGATGGGGGGACAGAGAGAGAGAGGGAGGGAGGGAGGGAGAGGGAGAGGGAGAAAGAATTTCAAGCAGATTCCATACCCAGTGCAGAGCATGAGTGCCCCCCATGTTGCATACATTTTAAGGAACAAAGGTCATTTACTACTGCTGGGAAGGTCCCAGAAAATGTGAAAGGGAAAGGTGTAGCACAAACCCTTGTAGAGCTTTTCAAAATGGTTGATCTATTGTCCTCAACTGTGAAACAACCTCTACACCACTGAGGTTTCTATACTCAGCAGATCAACCGTCATTTTTCTGACAAATTAAAATTTCCTATTTTAGGAGTGCCTGGGTGGCTCAGTCAGATGAGTGTCCGACTCTTGCCTTTGGCTCAGGTCATGATCCCAGGGTCCTGGGATCAAGCCCTGCATCAGGCTCTGCACTGGGTGTGGAGCCTGCTTGAGATTCTCTCTCTGTTTCTCTCCCTCTGCCCCTCTCCACTGCTTGTGCTGTCTCTCTAAAAAAAAAAACAAAACAAAATTAAAATTTCCTATTTTTAGGGGTGCCTGGGTGGCACCATTGGTTAAGCTCTGACTCTTCATCTTGGCTCAGGTCATGATCTCACAGTTCATGAGTTCGAGTCCTGCACTGGGCTCTGGGTTGATGGTGCAGAGCCTGCTTGGGATTCTCTCTCCTTCTCTCTTCCTCTCCCTTGCTTGTGCTCTCTCTCTCAAAATAAATAAACTTTAAAAATAAAGAAATAAAATTTCCCATTTTTATGTTTGTCATTGCCAGATACTTTTCTCTGTCTTTTTAAAAGAAATATGTATATTTGCAAATTCTGATTTTCTGTGCAAAAGTTAAGAACTAAAATGAATACATTCTATTTATGATACCATTTATACTGCTTACATTTTGGGGCACCTGGGTGGCTCAGTCGGTTAAGCGTCCGACTTTGGCTCAGGTCATGATGTCACAGTTCATGAGTTCGAGCCCCTCATCGGGCTCTGTGCTGACAGCCAGCTCAGAGCCTGGATCCTGCTTCAGATTCTGTATCTCCCTCTCTCTCTGACCCTCCCCTGCTCACGCTGTCTCTCTCTCTCTCTCTCTCTCTCTCTCTCAGAAATAAATAAAACATTTAAAATATATATATATATATATATACTGATTACATTTTATTACCGGTTTTTTATCATTTAGATGTTTCAATTCCAGAAATATTGCTTTTCCTGAATAGGTCAGATACTAGATATTCAACACTATCACTGGCCCACCATTTCTTGTCCCTCCCTCCTTGCCAAACAGTTACCAGCTTGGAGGGGATTCTCTCATTGGTTTCTGTGTATTTGCATTCATACATAACACATTTACTCTGGTACAGTTTGATGTTCTTTTATTTGTTCATTAATGGGATTACACTGTATGAACTGCTCTGCGTTTTTTTACATTAAGTTCTAGAAGCTTTGCTGTCACTCCACCTCACCCTTCCTCATTCTTTTCATAGGCGGATGAGAATTCCATTGTATGGATGTATCATAATTTAACTACTCCTGTACTGATGAAAATATAGGTTGTTTTCACGTTTTTGTTACTACCAAGACACTTCTAAATAAATGCTTTTGAAACATCCTGGTAAATACACCTTTGGTAGCCTGTATAAGTCTTTCTGTGGAACAGATCGTACAACTATAATGGCTGAGCCAAAGGACATGAACATATTAATTATTGACAGCTATTACAAATTGCCCTCCAAAAGCAGTCTAAAAATGTTAATAGCAATGGAGAAAGAAAGTCCCACTTCTCCACAACTTTGCCAGCATTGGATATCAACTATCCTTTTAATTTTTGCCAATACAAAGCACAAAAAAAAAATCTGATTTCAATATGCATTTCCCTTAATACAAGTGACATCGAGCATCTTTTCATGTTTATTGGCATATTCCATATTCTCTGAACTGCTTTTTCATATCTTTGGTTTCCTGGTGTATTTTTGTCTTTCTCTTTTTAAAAATTTGTTTAAATTTTTTTTTAATTTCTTTGAGAGACAGAGAAACCATGTTTGAGGGGAGGTGGGGAGCGAGAATCACCCAGAGCCTGACGCAGGGCTCAATCCCACAAATCCTGAGATCAAGACCTGAGCCAAAATCAAGAGTCGGACCCTTGACTGAGCCAAATAGGGGCCCTGCCTTTCTTTTTTAACTGATGTGTAATGAAAACAAGTATATTCAAGAGACAGTATCCACCCAGATCTTTTTATGATTTCATACAGTAGGCCAGGAGATCACTGGGAAATGACCAAAGACACAAAACTCATCATCCCCCAACAATTCTACTGGGCCACCCACTCCACCTCTGTCCCTGCAACGACCCTCCTTCCCAGCTATAGTTCCAGCTCCTCAGTTTTCCCAGATCACCAAGTACGCATTCTGTACTACACTGCTACAAACAACCCAGGTATATGGAGGCTGTGCCTTCTTTATTTGTATTATTTCTCACTCGCTGGACACCCACTGCAAACTCTATGACACTACCCATCTCAGTACATCATAATCCATAATGTCTGCAAAGAACCATTCCTCATATATCAATTTCTGGAACTTGTAAACAATGTAAGCTCTTTTGTAAGGAAATCTCTCTAAAATATACACATTCCTTGGATTTAAAAAATAAAACAACTAGGGGTGCCTGGGTGGCTCAGTTAGTTAAGTGTCCAAATTCAGCTCAGGAGCCCTGCATGGGGCTCTCAACTATCTGCTATCTGTCTCCCTCTCTCTCAGCCCCTCCCTTGATCTCACTTTCCCTCCTCCACAAGTGCTCTCTTTCAAAAATAAACATTTAAAAAAAAATAGAACAACTCATTATGCCCTTTCCTTTCTTGATGCATCAGATAAATATATTAATCCCGATATACGGTGTTACAACATAGGGATGCCCTCTTGAGTTACTAAGGGGGACAGAGCCATTTACTCCTCTACCAATGGTCTACCCACAGCATGAAAAACAAATGCTAAGTTGTGTCTGTGTCTCATAGATCATTTCTCCTCTCATTCTCCACTTAAAACTTAACGTTCTTCTTGCTGCCTATCTCTGGCATCTCTTTGTTCCCACTCCATACTTGCTAGGCTAAGAAAAACAAACAAACAAACAAACAAACAAACAAACAAACCCAGTTTTGAAATAAGACTAAATGATTCTGAGAAGCTCCCAAGAACAAACATATACAATCTTCAGTGCAGGAATTTTATGACAACGACTTCAGCTGCTCATAACACAGTTATTCACTGGTTCCAATTCCAAGTCATATTTCAGAAAGCGAACAATTCCAGATAACTGAACTCTATCGATGTAAAACGTGTCAAATAAATAGTATGGAGTTACTGGTAAAAATATATTTGACTTAAAGTGAATGGAATAAAATCAATAAACAAAATTTTCATCCGTATTTGTCTTCACTGTGTATTTGTAGTGCTAGATAAAGCCATGAAATTATTTGCAACATTCCAAGATAGTTGTGCAAGTTTTAACGGCACTGAGTTACTTTTATATTTGTTAATTTTTATCTGTTTTGTAATAAAGTCTGAGTACTGATTTGATTATGCAGCTATTTTTCTTTTTTTTTTAAGTTTATTTATTTTTGAGGGAGGGAGGGAGGGAGAGAGAGCGAGAAAGAGAGAGAGAGAGAGAGAGAGAGAGAGTGCGCAATTGGAGAAGGGGCAGAGAGAGCCGGAGACAGAGACTCGAAGCTTGAACTCACGAACCACGTGATCATGACTTGAGCAGAAGTCTGACACTCAACCAACCAAGAAGCCCCGCATTGGACTCTACGCTGACAGCAAGGAGCCTGCTTAGGATTCTCTCTCCCTCCCCCACTCACTTGCGGGCATGCTCATGCTCTCTCCCAAAATAAATAAACATTTTTAAAAAATAGTATGAATCATCAGTTGTTTTTAAGAATCACATTTATAGGGGTACTTGGGTGACTCAGTCAGTTTAGCATCTGACTTTTTTTGGCTCAAGTCATGATCTCCTGGTTGGTGAGTTCAAGCCCTGCTTCAGATCCTCTACCCTCCTCCTTCTTCCTCCTCCCCCAGTTACGTTCTCTTTGTCTCTCTCTCTCAAATAAATAAACATTTAAAAAATACATAGAAATAAAATCACATTTATATGATCTGAAACACATTCACTTCAGTGATCCAACCCTTCTCACAAATACCTCTTACAAGTGATAGATTCTCTGAACCCCAACATCCTCTTCATCCCTTCTGCCTCCTAATGGAGCTAGGCCACCCTCATTTCTGGCCTGGACTCTTTTTTTTTTTTTTTTTAATTTCTGACAGAGAGAGGGAGAGACAGCACAAACAGGGGAGGGTCAGAGAGAGAGGGAGACACAGAATCTGAAACAGGTTCCAGGCTCTGAGCTGGCTGTCAGCACAGAGCCTGACGCAGGGCTTGAACCCACGAACCGTGAGATCATGACCTGAGCTGAAGTCGGACACTTAACCGACTGAGCCACCCAGGCGCCCCTGGACTCTTTTTTTCAAAAACTTTTTAATGTTTATTTATTTTTGGGAGAGGGAGAGAGGCCAGAATGCGAGTGGGGG